CTTGTCCGGGCCCTACTCTGACCTCCAGACCTGTTACTGACCTGCTGCAGCCTTGCTTCTACCGCCTGACCTCCTAGCTTTGACTTTTGGCCTGTATCAGGACTCTGGCTATAGTACTTGGCTGGCCCATGGACTCTCATCTGGGTTCTGACTTCGGCCAGTCCCCAGAGTTTAGTTCCAGCCTCAGGCCAACCCTCACCTCAATCCCAACTCTACATACAGCTTTAATCTCAGCTCCAACCACTAGGCGTGACTTCCAGGAGACAGCACCTGGCACTTGGGGCTTATGAGATGGCTAATGTACAGCTTCACGAGCCAAGGGAACAAGGGGTGGGCTGGGTCCCCCAGGATTACTAATGGTATTTCAACATTGCCAATGGCAATCTTCTGGTCGGTGAAGAACGTTCCTGCTTGTAGCTTTCTGAAGAGTCCTGCATTCTTAAAGATGCAAGTGTCATGCACTTTCAAAGCATCACTAGAGATCCACCAACGCTAGCATAACAATAGAAAAGTAGCCCTGTGTTGATGCACTCTGTGGCAAGGTGGTCTGGTGCCACAATAGGGATATGCATGCTATTTATTGCTTTCACACAGTTGTGGAAACCCATTGCTGCAAATCCATCCACTATGTCCTCCACATTGTCAAGAGTCACCGTCCCATCTACAAGGAGATAACTAATGGGCCTGCACACTTGCATGACAACAGATCAACTTGCATACACAGTGGATTTTCCAACTTCAAAATGATATCCCACTGACTGCTAGCAATCCAGAGTTGCAAGTTTCCACAGTGCAATGGCCACTTGCTTCTCCACTGTCAGTGTAACTTTTATTTGGGTGTCCCTATGCTGGAGGATTGGGGCAAGCTCAGCACGCATACCCAGGAATGTGGCCTTGAGCACCTGAAAGTTCTGCAACCATTGCAAGTCATCCCAAGTCTGCATTACATGATTCCACTAGTCAGTGCTTGTTTCTTGGCCCCAGAAACAGCTGGCTTTTGCATCTACAGCTGTTCTGTGAATGCCAACAACCTTGAATTGGGTCTCGCTAGGAATCTTCCCTCCAAGAAACAATCATGCTCCCAACTGATTTTGTTCTTCTTATGGTTCTGCAAATAGCAGAGGATTGTGCACCCTGTGCTTTCAATTCTTAGGACAATAATGCAGGCTCCATGCATCTGTCAGAGATGGCGAATAGCAAAGAATGCCACACCAGTTCTTGGTTTTTTTTTTAAAAAGGCACAACAATTGTGGGATATAGATGACATTATGGGATGGAGACAGTTGCATGCTAGGAAGTTGACCCTTGCTCCCAGTCACCTCTACGTGACTTGTTTCTGCCCCACCAACTTTAATCGCTTCTTCTTACTTTTCTGCATGACCAGGATTTTACAACCTCGATGTACAATACTGGGTCATGTGGAAATATTTATTAGCAGATAAATTGATTAGTTAAATTGATTAGTTATGTATCTGTTTTAAGAAGACTTTATTGTCAGTGACCAATTTAAAAAAATGATTCAGTAATATACATAGGTTTATAAGGAGTTAATTAGAAAAAGTTTAACTGGAAGATGGTATTTTACGTAGCAAAAATGTGAAAGATTTGTCTTGGTCAGTCAAACAGGACACTTTAGGACATTGACAATAATTCTCTTAAGCTTAGTAAAATTGCATTTTACTGACACATGAAGACCTAGGTTAGGGAGTGTTGTGTTCTTCTGAATTAGTATAGAATTAACTAACCAATGATGTTCTTAGTTGATGGCTGCACTATGTGAGTATCTACATTTAAATCACAAACTGAAGATACAAAGGCAGCAGCTTTCTCCTGTCCAGGCCAGTAAAGACTAAGCTAATCTTGACTAAGCTAAAAAATACTGCTTGTGTAAACCACACACCTCCTGGGTGTGGTGTCTGAGAGAGAGACTGAGTCTGTTCTACAGCCTTAACTAACAGCCAATTGGCTTTTAGCTCATGCAGTAGAGGCTCATGCACTAAGCTCCAGAGGTCCCTGATTCGATCCTGCCCTCTGACGACTGGGGTCTGTCAGCATTACACTTGCATCTCTTAGAAGCAGCATGTTCTCAATTTCATTCAATGGGTGATAGCAGAGAATAAATGAACCAAAGAGGTGGATCTCATAGGCTATAGGATGTAATATCCAACCCCCAATTTTTATCCACGTGTCCCCTGTGAGCTGTAACATAACATTACACTCTCTGAGTAGCCCTCAATTAGTGTCCAGTGCAATTGTAAAAGCAAGAAGAAAAGGGGTCAGAATGAAGCTTGGTGTTTGTGTGAATGTACATTTAAGAACACTCTTTTGATTCGATATCTATAACTGCCCATGAAAGCTCCTTGCAATATAGCCTTGGACAGGTGATCTTGGATTCCATATTATGAAAATATGAAGCATTAATACCTAAAATCTTTGGATTACTATTCAATTAAGGGTTTTTTTGGTAAAGTATCAAATATTTCAAATCGGACATCACAAGACTGTCAAAAAATGTGTACCGTACCTTTACAATTAGCTATGAAAAAACTATAGCACAAATACCCCCAGAAGATGTATGTGCTTGGAGATTTTTACTAGACTCATTATTTACATAAACCAAATACAAGACAAACTGGCTTAATTTAAGTGCTAATTTCGCCCCCTAAGCCTCATTAGCTTAATTAGGTAAATGGTCATTTATTAAACCACAATGGAAAGAACCGAAAGATAAATAAAACTGCATTTATGTTTAATGCAAAATGTGATTTCCTATCTGGTAGGTGGTAATAGGAGATAGGAGTATATTACCCTTATGTCACTGAATAAATAATACCACGTCAGTTCAACACCTGCACTGACATCCTGATTCTTTTGGATGCAATGAAGGTATGGACTATTTTTCTGCAAAACTCTTAAAGGCTTGAGCCTTAAACATTTAAGAGACTTTAACTGTCTAAGAGATAATGTCTTTCCCTTTGAAATGGAATGGCAGCTGAGGTGAACTTGGACTTTAATGAGAGGTAACTGGAGGCAGGCCATTTTGAATCTGGGACCCTTAGAACTCATTCCCTCATGTGGCAATAGAGCTCTAGTTGTTTAGCTTATAAGGCAGTGCAAAGACCCAGCTTCTTTTTTTTTTTTAAGGGGTGTGCATGTGTAAGAGAGAGAGAGAGAGAGAGAGAGAGAACTAGAAAACAGACGAGGAAGGTTAGAAAAGATATATA